CTTTCCCTAAAAAAATGCAGATCTCATTCAGTTTTAAGAAACAAAGATTTTATCCACAAAGAAGTTGTGTCAATGAATAAATATATGTTGCAGAAGTACAAGGATAAAACTAGATGATACGGTAAAGGTAAGAGGAGCTGATTTCCTGGATCAGACGGGTACAGATTTCAACATACTGTGGGTTGGGGGGGAGGGGGGGGGGTTGTTGTTAAACAGTAAGGAAAGACTCATTCAGAGATTAGCCAAAAATAATTCAAAGAAGTCAGCATAGGAAAAAAGACAAAGGTGTGTTCTATGTGTAATTTCTTGACATTGCGATGGAGCACTGCATAAGAGAGACCTTCTAAACATGCAATGCTAAAGCTAAAATTATTTAGTTTCCCTTGAAGAAATAACTGAAAAATATAGTTCTGGAAATCATAAGGCTGAGAACATGATACTGCATATCAAAATAAATCCTTTACATAAGACAGTAATAATGCCCATTAATGAATATACGTATGGCAGATTTTAATTCCATGCATATGATTTCTTTTAATAATTGCAGAAAAAAACATACAGAGAAGCAAAAAAAACCAAACAAAAAAAAAACCCATCAAAAGTTCCCACATTAAGAAACCTGCATAAACATAATAATCACTGTTCCTTTTGCATTGCACTTTAGAAGAGGAGATCTGCACCTTAACTGGATCTCCAGCATCCCAAAACATACAAGGGCAAAGCCCCGTAGAAATGGACAGTTTTTAATTTCACATAATTTACTTGGTATAACAATATTTTTTTGCTCCCCATAGTTCTACATTGTCCTGGTAATTCAAATTCTTTCATATACCTTCTTTTTGTACCTAAAACATATATATGAACTTTACTTCCTGTTTAATGCTCACAGTTATAATGGTTATTATAATGGATTCAAGCAAACAGCTCTTGTTTAAAAAAAATCTTTTATTTCTCTAATGTACTGTAAGTAAATACTATAATTTTAGGATTGGCAGCCGCTTTTTGTCTACTGGGAAATAATTTTCAGGCTTACATAGTTTGCGTAAATGTCCAAAAGCAAATATAGATTACCAGAAATATGCTTCATTATAGAGAATAACTTCTGCGTACAATGATGTACAGGGTTCTTTTTAAGTTAAATAAGTGTCAGCATTTCCTGTACAAGATGCTAAAAGGAAAAATAAGCTGGAAGGCACGTCATCAGCCCCAGGTCCAATTTTCACCTTATTATGCCTTTAAGCTTGGCTGTACAATGAAAAGTGAGGTTTTTCTGTGCTAAACCATTTCCCTTGTTCAGTAAAGCATTGAATATATTTGATAAGTGCATTTGGGGCCCCAGTTACTACTGCTTTCCACCACCTGAGATGTACAGCCATGTAAAACAGGTGTAAAATGCAGCAACTAGTGTACTTGGTGAGGAAGTCTCATTGAGTAGCATTTGACACCTGCTTTGTACTCACTTTGCACGGGTGTAAACAGTGACATGAAGTGCCAGGCTGTGGAGAAGTGGGCAGCTGTTTTTTATGTCTTTAAAGCGTGGAACAATCTAGAATGATCAACTTGTAAACTTCATAACCACAGAATAAAACGCAGAGGAAGATTTTGACAAAGTGCAGTTCCTTTAAAAATAAGACAAAGTGATGGCATGCTGCATTTTTATTCCTGGGCTGCGGCTTGGATCCCAAAATTAAAGTAATTTCTGTTGTTTGTTTGTTTTTTAAATAAGATGTAGCCTTATTCACAGCAGCAAGAGTTAATTTTCTTGTATCTGATAAGTATAATGTTGCACTTTCCTCGGGCACAGTAATTCTGACAGATGATTCTGAGTAAGTAGATAAATACTGAATTTATGAAAGATGGTGTAATAAAGATGAGTTCTTCAGAAAACTGAAAGCTGAAGTAAAGATTTCAGAATGACTTCAAAATACGTGTCTTTTTTTTGCTTATTCTTTCAACCAACCTGACAGTTCATTCACTTCCTTCCTTTCTTCCTGCCATTCTCTTCCTAGAACAGAGGTGCTCTTGGATGAAGCAAGTCTTTTGAGCACAGCAGTTAACAACAGACGTCTTTAAAATTATGGCATCATTTACAAAACACTGAAGTCAATAAGGCTGGGTTTCATATCTCTCTAGCATACACCTCCCCCCACCCCCCTACACACACACTCCCCACCCCTCCATCTTCCTTTCTTCCTGGGTTTAGCACAGGAAAATGAAGATCCTTTTTACTAAGAAAAAAAATCAGCTTTGAAAAGCACTCTGAAATTCTCATACGACCACGTGACAGGGTTAAAACGGTGATGGCTTCCTAAACGGGTGGAAAATTGCTGATGAAATGGCAACATCACCAGAGGGCTTCTACGTTAAGAATCCCAAAGCCTGTAACAAGTCATTTAAAAATTGTGCATCAAGGGGTTTTTGTTTTGCTTTTAAAGGTTCGTTACAAAAATTTCATTAAGAGTTTTAATACCAAGTCTGTATGATGTAATAATTTTAAATAGCTTATAACAAAAGTTTGTTTGTTTTTTTTAAGTGTTCCAGCAAGCAGAAGGGCAACATAAAAAAGCACTGCCATGCTTGCTTTCCTTTTACTCTGATTTAAGTTGGATGATGCTGCTTGCTTGAAGTCTGCCAGTAGAAAATTTGCTGTGGACTCAAAAGTTTTAGTTTATAAACACTTTGTGTGTTATAGGCACAGTAAGATGTTGTGCTATATGGATTGAAAAAGAGGCGTAATTCAGTGCTTCTGTTGTAAAGAGTAACATTTGCCCTCCAACTAATAAAGTCCGTATTTATGGATGTGTGCGGAGATGCGCACACCTACTCACACATGCACTTACACGCACACCCCACGCATCCTCCCTTACTGTGCATATACGTCATTCTGTATGTGTATTAGACAATGTGGTGTTTTCTTAGTTCTCAATGTTGTTTGTTGTGTTTTCACTGCTGGGTTGATTGCTTGATTTAGGCCACAGCTGTTCCTGAAGTTCCTTGACCACTTTTTCCAAGTGTTCCCGAGCCTCTCTCTCATGCAGCAGGTCAGCTCGGAGCTGCTCCCTATCAGCCTCTGCATGCTGAAGCTTAACTTGTAGGTCCTCGATCTAGAGCAAAGCACATAAGAAACAAGATTGTAGTACTGTGACTGTGGATTCAAACAAGTACTAGATAATTTGGGGCCTGATAACTATGCGAGTAGTTTATACAAACAGAAGAAGAACAAAGTACAGGCAGTCCTCAACTTACAATGTTTCGCACTTACAACGTTAATAAATTGACACCCTGTTTCAACTTTCTGACGTCAGTTTTGACTTTACAACTCTTGATCGGATGCCACGCCACACCAGCGAACAAGTTCGCTGCATTGCTCATCTCCCTGGAGAACATGTGTCCAAACTTCCTTGGACGCTTGCTTTAAGAAAGCAGACAAGACTCCAAAAAAACTTGCAGCCAAGACTCCTGAGAAGACTCCAGCCAAGAACTCTTCAAAAAGTCGAACCAAGAGCCCTTCAAAAAGTCCAGCAAAGTCACCTCAAAGAAGTCCTTCCAAATCAATATGATTGCAATTTATAATGTAGCTATATTACTCATCTATAATTGATTGAATACAAAATTCTGGGGTATTTTTGGTGAAAATAGAGTATCAGGCCTTGGTTCAGGAACCAATCCCCCATTTGTAACATTGTTTCTTATGAGAAAATTGGTTCCGAGTTACATTTGGACTTAAGACATAGTTTTCAGGAACCAATTGTGTCGTAAATCCGAGGACTGACTGTAACTTCTTGAGGAATTAAGGATCACTGGTCAGGTAAAGAAGGTATTTTTCTCCAGTACAGGCAAACAAGAGGCCAAGTAGATTAATGGGAGCTGTTCCTTTTCACAGCATTTCAATATTAGATGCTGCTGGAGATCAAATACTAAGTGTGATGGGCCAGTGGTCTGATATGAATCACAGAGTCTTTAAGTACTTAACCGAAGTCCCAGCTAAGGCAGCTCTTGTGTCATTAAACTTTGAGGTAGGTAGCAATTCCATTTTGTAACGGCCTGCTAAATAATTCCCCCAAGCCGAAGTGATTCATTTCCATGCATTTTAGAAGACTTATTAGTGTGATTGTCCAAAGATGCATTCTTACTGGCCAGCTGGGCCTTTTAGACAGTCACAGCTGTGTCCCAGCACACAACAAAGACAACTGTGATCTCTTCTTGCATGTAAGAATCCAAACACCTTCTACGTTTAGAGCAAGGGGCTGCGAGGGTAGGAAGACTATGCCAGTAAAGTACTCTGTGGGGATGGGAAGGGAGGAAGAGAGAAGTAAGAGGATGGAGGCATGAGAAGTATTGAACAAGACTGAAAGCTGAACTGGCAGCTATTCAAATTCTTTTTTTTTTTGAATGAAGGGAGAATCACAATTGATGGCTGGACTGTAGACTGATGCTGAAAAGACAGCTAGGCTTCTATGGACAAGAGTGGATCCAAACAGCCCTAGGAACCTGACACAACCAGTTAAGACCTAATAGAAGTGGAGGGGCTCTATTCAAAATCCAGGATCCAGGGCTTGCTGGTTATTCTGCAATGGGAACATGGAGGAATGTACAGTAGTTTCAGAAAGCAAGCACTTGCTGAAGGACACTGTCTGCATTCCCGGGAAGGTCATTTGAACATCCTCAGCTCTCCCTTGGGCTCCGGGAGGAACCCAGGACTTTGCAGACTCATTCCTTTGTTCTAGCTGTCTGACTCCACAGCCAGCAAGTGGAAGGAAAAGGGGACTACACTGGCTTGTAAAATGTAAAGGGACAAGTATAATACAAGGCTGGCAGCATCCGCACTTGACAGAGGCAAAATAATAGCTTTCTGGGGCCAAAACGAAGTGCATCTTTGAACACCAGGTCTGAATTTGGTCCTTCGCACTGGGATAAGAATATGTAAGACTCAATTTGAAATGACCTTCAATAGGAGTTAGGTGCCTAACAATCTTGGGCTTCTATTGAAAAATCCAGCCCTGCATTTATAGTCTGATCTTTTCTCATGCTTGTTTTGATGCTATTTTTCTGAAGACCAAACCTAGCAATAGAACTGTGGTTTATTTAAAAACAGTAAACCAAGAATATGCAGATACACACAAACTTCCTGTGCATGTTTGGCAGCTAAGAGTTAATGTCAAAGGACAGAGAGTTACAATTTGCTTGGGTTGTTCCTAAGTGGGGTTGATTTGTTGATGGCTCTTAAACTCCCGAGGCACTTTTGGAAACTCCACCTGAGGGCTCCCAACATTTTGGAATCTTGTGAGCCTTGATGCTGAACTTATCTTAAAAAAAGAAAAGGCCCGCTACCAAAGGGGAAGAAAATGTGGATGTCATAACATTAAGTCAGGTCAAAGCAGGGGAGGAACACACCTGCAGATCTGCAAGGTTCAAGTTGGCAAGGGAAGAGTTTATTTGTCTGCACTGGCTGTTGCTTTGTTTCTTTGCTAAAGTGGAAGTCAACTGCAGGTAACGCCCTGTGCAACAGCTCTCAGTCTACTTCTGTTTAGTCTGGACACTTCTTATCAGTGAGACATCCCGTGATGCTAGGGAGGAAGCCTGCATCATTTCCTGCTTCCGGTCTCCTGGTTAGACATGTCTCAGAGCAGTATAAGTGAACCACTCCCCTTCCCGTTATTGAGAGCGTGGGTTAGGAGAATTTCAGGGGTTGTTGCTTTTTCTTTTTATAAAGTAACTCTTTAAAGGCTGGCAGTTAAGCTTCTGGGGGCATGACCAGCAATCCAGCTTCACATGGAGGACACACACACTGAATTTAACACCACACATTTAATAACTAAGCTGTTAGGTGTGGTCTGAAGGGACCTCTTTAAGATAAGTTCAGATATGTCAGTACAGGACCTGTGAGAGAAATTTGGGGACCCAGTATGTCCCGATAGAGGGGATCCAGCTCCCATACTGGAATAGGAATTAGAGAGTGACCTGATTTTGGGAGGCCCCTGAGCTTGGGGCCCCAGTATAACTGCATCCTCCCTGTTGCCCCAATCTTATAGGCCCTGTGTCAATAGACAACCTAGCTGTCTGGTAGTTGATAAGTTGCATGTCTCTTCTCTGTATGGGCCTACATTTAACCAAGATCACTGGCTGCTTTCTGGCTTTGGAAAGGGAGTTAGTGAGAAGGGATGCACTCTAGCAGGAAGGAGGCAGGCTTGCTCACAGTGAATCTGCCCTGTCTCCCCATGATCAGAAAACTTAAATTTGCCACTTTTTAACCAGACTTGGCATGATGACCACTGAAGGCAGTGGGAGGCAGAGGGAAATGAAGGAGGGGGCAGGTCAGAGTAAAAGCTAGAGGAGGGCAAATGAGGTGAGGGAAGGAATTAGCCCTGGGAAGGTGCGCTGCTCAGGGGCCCTATAGAGTGGGGTGAAGTTGTGAGGGGGTTAATGAGGGATATGGAGCCTTGTTCTTTTATGCAGAGGTAGTTTTGGAGTAACTGGGTTGTTTTAATGGGAGGAGGGCAGGGGAGGGCCACATACTAGTTTGTCACACAAATCCAGGCAGGTGCCATTGAGCTCTCAGTTCAGCCTGTTCTGCAGGGTCATTTCAGGGGACTTGGAGCAGTGAATGGCCTCGCCTTGCACATGCCCTCCAGCACCAAGACACAACATGGTGGCTTAAGGGAACACAGACTGAACTCTTGCTCCACTTCGCTTGGGAAGTTTTAACATTTCATTAGAAGAGCATCTAGCGAGGATGGGGCAGGGTGAGGGTGGTGGTGGTCGATTTATAGGCATACAGATATGAGACGTTGGCAGAGAAACAGTCCCACCCTCCCAGGACTTCTGCAGAAATTACTTCTCAAGCGTTTTCGTTTTCTTAGACGTGCTTGTTTTCTTATTGTTCTAAGGCACATATAGAGCAATGCCTTTCCAGTGCAGCAGTCTGCCCAAGTTTGGGCCTTAGCTCCTCCTTTCCAACTGAATCTGCAGTTCCTTTAGATCTAATTTAATCTCCATGGAAATCCGATTAGGGAAAGTGACTTTGCCTAATATTCATACTGGGTGAAATCCACTACCGTGCACAGGGATGGCATGTGGCCTACAAGAGCTGTAGTGGGACTGAAATGATGCTAACTGATGAGTTGGCCCTCTTTACAATGTGCATTTCAGCTGACGTGGATTACTAGCATCAAGACCCAGTCTGTGCTTGGCTGTATGTGCTACAGTGGCTCGTGCCTGATAAGAAGGATGGCGTTCTGCTTCAGGTCCTGGGCTGAAGCTTAGAGTTTGTTTTGCTGTACTAGCTTTCCTGTTCGATTGCGAGGCATTCGGTCCCTCTGTGCCTCTTTTTCCCATCTTGAAAATGGGAGTGACAATTCTTCCTCATTTCATGGGGGTACTCTGTGGCCCAGATACCTGTAAAGATAGGTTTCAGCTATATAAACCAAGAGTATCTCTTGCACTAATCAAGCATTTAGCCTGAGGAGGGGTACTACTGCAATTAGTCCTAGAAACTGGAAAGGAGACAAGTTGCTAATCCATCAGCTGCGAGGTCTGATCTTACCTGGGCAGAGTACTTGGCCCGCAGCCTGCCTGCTTCGCATCCCTTGTCACAAACCCGGATCTGGCGGGCTTGCTCCAGTTCCCGCTTTAGCCGTATCCGTGACTCGTTGGCTTCTTTCATTTTTTTCTCATTCTCTGCTCTGAGGCGTTCAATCTCTTTCCTCAAGTTGCGCTTTGCTTCTGTCGCTTCTCTCAACTTCTCCTTCTTTGCCACACGCAGAAACTCCAGCTCCTGGAAAGTACAAGCAGGTACAGAGACTAATGAGACCAAGGCAGGCTCATACAAGAGTACAGCAAGGAAGGGAAAGTGACAGAGAGATGGATCCAAACCAGAATGCCAGACTCAAACTCCACTGGAAGGTTTTACTGGTCGGAGAGCCTGAGCCTGAAACCTGACCCTGGGTTTGAATTTGCAAAAGTTCCATCCACTGGAACAAGCCAAAATCCTGAGGTGAAGCACCATACGCTCTGGGCTTTTAAAAAGCCAGGCCACATCCAAACTTTGCATCTACTATCATGCAAAAGAGGACAGTGTCCAAGTCTGAATAGAAGCTAGCAGTGGAGGTACCAACAGTTTAACAATATGCACTATGCTGGCCAAAACAACTCAGAACAGAAGTCAAATGGACCAATGCTAACGGCTGTCCATTAACTATAGAAACTAAACTGAGGCAGCACGAAGTTAAGACAGGTGCTGTCTGGATGGTCCTTTATGAAAATCAGAGCTGGTCAAGAAAGTGTTGCTAATTTACTAATGAAATCAAGAAATAGTAGATAAATCAAAACTGAGAAGATACTTGCGATGAAAGACCAAAAATGAGTGAGTTTTTCTTTCTCATACTAAGCAGTTCTGCTTTATTATCTGTGTTCGTGTGCAGCCCTGGGGCTCCTGGCAATGAGCCAAAAGACCACTCTGTTACATTTAGGAAACCCCTTTTCTAAAAGCTAAGCTTTGTCCAGACTGTGCTGCCCTCTAAAATCTATCCCTCTGCTGCCATCCAAATCCTTAGCATGAAAACTCAAACCCAAGTAAGAGCCATTAAATCAAATTAATAACGGCATGGAAACAAATACAGCGAGGCGACAAATAAGGTGGTGGGGGGGGGAAAGACATGTACGCCTGCGCACCTATTACTTGTGCTTCTGTTTAGAAGTCATGGCTTGCTCAGTGACTGGGTTTTTCAAAGGGTTAAATTGGATGAACTATGATAGAACTTTTTTTTCCAGCATCAGCAGCATTTCCTCTCTGCCAGAGTCAAACCCTCACAGTAACAGGCTTCTGTTAAGTAACACTCTGCTGTCAGGTCATGGGAAATTCACTCCTTTGACAATCTCACTTCCCAGCCAGGCCATTGTTAGCTCAACCTCAGCACTGGGGGTATGTAAGTACTTTCTGTGCATGTGGAATTGGAAAACCACAGCTGCCAAAATGGAAACTGATGGCCAGGCATCATCCTCTCTGTGTACATCGCAGTCTTGCTTGATTAATTCCATAAAGCTCAACTCTTGATGTGAACTTCTTGTTCAATGCATAACTGGCTTCACTGAAATACAAGGAAACCAAGTGGCTGTCCCCAAGGTCCCAAACTGAGTGAGCAGCTTGAGTTAAATAAAACAGCTGGACCTCCCTTCCCTCTGGACCACGTGCTACAACCGAGACAGCATGTCAGTAGCCTGCAGAAGTGCACCCAATGCCATGGATACAGCAGGCTTTGGTTCAGAATATTCTGAGGAGTCATCCAGGCATTTGGTAGTATCTCTCTCTAACTTGCATTCCTTCTGGTGGGAAACTGGTAGAGCACCTAGGTTTAATACTGTTTTCTAACCACGCAAAGCTTTAGTGCAAGCAGATCACATGTCTACCTGGAGCCCATCCCCAAAACCCTGGTGTCTGCTGGCTAACAGGACAACCCTTACCCACTTTTGGCCAAGAGTCTGTTTCATCTACTCCTGGCTGTCTGCTAAATGTGATTATACCTTATTGGAACAAAGTAGGTTCCTGGTCCATGGAGTGCAATGCATTATTAACTGACTTAAGCTCCAAATACACTGCTTGAAGAGGAGAGTGAAAGGCTCCCCTTGCCTCTCTGTGCAGCCACTGTCACTATGCCACCTGCTGTCATTGGCACCCAATCACCTTGCATAAGAGGCCTGCACAAATTAGGAGGGAAAGGCTTTCCACCAATGAAACAGCAGGTTGTGTTCACTATAGGTCATCCTGCAGGGCTTGGCACGTGCAAAATGTGGAGGAAGCTCAATACAGACTGGAGCACTCAACTTCTCACCACATCTTGTCTCTCTTGCTAAGTGTCTCTATGCCCTGGTGATACCTGCCTGGGCTGGATAGCAGAGGGATTTTACATATTTTACAGTGCCATAAATAAGACAATCCTTTAGTGAGAGATTTTTGCTCTGAGAGGCAGGGAAAGCTTCCCAGTGCCACAAAAAATCTCTGATTTTTGGGTTAAAAAAAAAGAACAAGAAAAAGGGTGGGGTGGATTCAGTTTCTTAAGCAGGA